GCGGCCGAGGAAATACAAATTCGATGTATTAATGTACCTTGCGGTCTGCTGGGGTCCATCTAGTGTATCGTAGATGATGGCTATCATGATGGCTGCAAATTCCATTTGACTGGAGGGACATATACTGAGTATATCACAACTATCAAGCATCATCTGCAACAATGAACGATGTTTCTGTGATGCAAGTCTGTAAGAGATAATCTGCCGCTCAGCAGATCCTAGGTTTCTATTTCTCCTACTACCACTGTCACTACTGCTACTTCTTTCGCCATCAGTCTCACTATTGACATCTTTTCCAACATGTTCTCTGAGTGATTTGAACGATACATCTAAAGAATCCAAGTGAGATAGTAGTAAGGATATCAATAATAAGGATGATTATGATAAAAATAGTAAAGGAAACATAGGTAAAGGGCCTATCTGCTAGTCGGTCAATTATTCTGTCACCGGTCGCAAGGATATAATGCCCGAAGGAATCGAATATCCATTGGGATCGAATTTCGAAAGGATTGGAATTCCTACCCTCTCTCTGAGTTGCGCACATGAATAGGAAAAGGAGGCCCATCAAGAGGATTAATACCAAAGACCCTGGCATGATGTCATCGATAACACCCCGAAGATCAGTAAAGAATGACACGATCCCTTTTAATCAGCGATAGCAACTCAAACTTTCGTACCTTTTTTGTAAGTCAGCGAGCCGCGCCAGTTCACGCGGTCCCGATATGCAGGGCCCAAGGCTGAGGTAGGGCCATCCCGGGCAGAACCGAGGTCCTTGGGAAAGTATCCAAGAAAATCATGGAAGCGGCCTCAATTAAAAGTTCGACGTTGGAATCGGGGTGGGTTTGGTTCCTTCCATAGCACCCGTGCATGCCGTGCAAACTATGCCAAGGCCATCGGGTAATCCCTCATCAGTCGGTGCCCGACGAAAAAGAGGGCAAAATGGAAACTCTCTTTTCTCTTCCTCCGTATCGCGTGGCCGTAGAGTTCATCTCAAGTTTCGAGGCGAGGGTACGGATATGATCCGTGTCAAGGTGGGCTTGACCCGAGTCAGTACGTTAGTAGGTCACCGGCAGATGATCTGGCAGATGATCAACCTCATATTTGCTGCCTTCTTTTTTCCGGAAGAGGTCACCGAAAAACACGTTACCCCGGCATGCGGCGATGTGGGATGTCGTCGTCGTTGAGAAATGAAATGGGCGCCGCAAGGGTTCCCGCGGAGCAAAAAGGAAGAAAGTTGACTGTTGAACAGAGTCGGGTGCCGGCGAAGGGAAATGGCAACCTCGGTGTCCATTGTAGCCGGCCTGAGCCGGCTTAGGACCCCCGGCCATGCTCACGTTGACCCCATCTTCCCGGTGATCCGGAAGGGTGGGCAGAGGCGTTCATGGCTTTGTGATGCGGCCCGGAGCTTAGGGGGGGATGGTCTGACGGCGTTTCAAGGCCCATACACCGGGCATGGGATGTGACTGGACCACACTGTGGACGTGGTAGACACCGGAAATCCAGAGGCAGCTTCAGGAGGCCGCTTCGGCGCTTGTCTTTGTTCAGAGTGCCGCCGTGAGTGCTTCGCGCGTCAGCCACCGCAGCGCAATGCACTTCGGCCATGGCCCTGTGTTGTCAGGTTTTCTCTGCCCCGTTCTCGCGAATCAGTAGGTATTCAGACTGAGATTGCCGTACCATGTCAGGAGCTATTCTGTTACCAAGCTCGGTGACATGCAGCCGCAGAGATCTTGTGACCTTAGGGTTCCAGTCGAATGGCTGGAAGCAGGCAAGATCAGGCAACTCGCACACGCTCAGTGAGGACAGCGCCAAGCGCCTCCCAGAGCCATTGGAACCAAGGGGCGGGCAGACCAGGCGATCGAAGGGCGGTGATGTGATGGAGGGCGTGAGGGCCCATTGATGTCGTCCAAGCTACGGGTGGATTGGCAGATGCGGGAAACCCGAGAGTGATCGGCACTGGCCAGAAGCCCATCGGCCTTTGCTCTTGAAGGGTGTTCTTCCACAGTAAGCCCTCGATTGCTTGGCTCTGCGGGGGTCTTGGAAGCATCGGCAACAGTGTGCTCATGGTTGGTCAAGTAATACGCAAATACGCAACAGCCTCTTTTAGCCTCGATATCTCACCTTCAAACCGTTTTGGTGAGACGTACTCCGTACGTCAATTCCGAAAGGCGGTTGACTGGTGACGAGTGCAGATCCATATCTCAAAGCCATGCTGGACAATGGAATTGACATGCCAAACACTAGGCTCTCTTTCCTGCAGAATCCTGCTGTCTTGCCGTTGGTTGGTGCCAGACCCCGGAATTAGAAGCTCTGCTGACGTTGGAATCCGAATGACAAGTTCTGGGAAGAAGTAAAAACATTGATCTCTCGGCCGGGACCAGTCTAGATTTCGGTAGTCTGGGCATCTCCGTCGTCCCAACTAGCCCAAAGGACAAAGCGAAGGGAACGCCCGTTGGCCTGTGGAAGAACGAGTGACATTCCTGAGCCGATACTACGGGGACGGTGCGAGGGACCGTCTCCTGCTTCGAGACGTGCGTGCGGCCTAATGTATCAAATTGTAGCCAGGGCGCACCATAGCGCCGCTAACGGCGGTGAGCTTCCAGAATTCCAATCCACCATTTGCCGCTTCTCGAACGTCTCTAATTTAGGATGTCAATATGCAAGTCACTGGAGCTGCCTTCCGGGGTTTGAGGCACGCTTACTCACAACTGACAGCCGAGAAGATATGGGGAGAGGCATTTAATTGCGTTTCCGCGGCCTCCTAAGCTCGTTTATGCCGATTATCGCACTGCACCTATTCAAGGCTAACAAAGCGCGGGTGTCGTTACTGCCACAAAGCCGTAGCTCACTCACAAATGTTGGTGAACGACAACTCGCCATCAGAGAATCATGCTGGCGGACGGCGGCTCAAGTTGATTGCCAAACGGACATGGCACCTCAGCCAGCATTCATGATGGGATAGGCCATCCTCAATTGTCTACTCTGTAAGTATCTTCTGGCCATGGCAAGCACTCGCGAGGCACCAGTCCCGTCGGGAGGCAGGGTAAGTAGGGTCGGGGATAGAGCCCAATTGCTCGGAGAGAAAGTGAACAAGAACTAGGGATCGTTGTCCAAGGGTTGGTGCCCAACTCCGACACAGTTGGCCAAATAGCGGACGGTTCGGACGTCTGAGTCGCGAGCTGAGGGCAAAATCCATATTTTGGCTGCCACTCAGGGCCAAAAAATATTGATCAGCAGACAGCGATGCCAGAAAATGCTGGCTTGTTTGCTCAAATTGCTCTGCATCCAGGGCCTTTGAAGGTTGACCTGCTCGTTATTCGGGCCCGATCGAAAGACCTGGGACAAGAGTGACGTGGGCGACGTCGAATAGCTTCCATGGCGTTTGACCCCATCCAACGCCACAGAGCGCTCCTCTAGCGCACGGCGCATCTGAAAGGCGGCAACGCCAGAGATGAGATGCTGTCCACGATGGGCGGTTACATTGCAGGCCATTCCTTTTCTTTTGTGCATCGTAGTCTGTAGACGAGGGGGTGGAGGGTCCGAGGAAGACTTCCCTTTTTACCGCCCCTTGCGGGAGATCCTTTGCTGTTTTAAGGAGAGATGGCCAAGGGGGCCTCTGGGTATCGGAATATAATATCTCGGATGTCAGCAGCGACATCCGACAGGTCGTTGTTGCATGACGAAGAAGGTGGTATTGTGCTGACTCTGGTATGCCTCCGAGCTGATGATAATGCCATCTAAAGGTACTTGCTTAATCTGGTCATTTTCACCTTTGCATTGTAAATTTGTAATGTCGACTTGAGGCTGGAGGGGTTAGCCCCTGTAGAGTACTGAAAATAGGCATCTCGATCTTGCAGCGTTGGTGCCCTCAACCGTCCGATTTATGACTGGTCTCCTGACCGATAGTCTGGAGTTATTTTTCCTGGTGGGTTCGAGCGTCGTGATCTCGTTGCGGGGGAGAGGACTAAGAGCGGTGAGGCTCTCGCTGGTTGATGATTAGCGCATCCTACTCTTGTGGGAGCAGTGTCACCTGAGGGATTAGTAGGAGTTGCTGGTAAATGCGGCAATGTCGAATTACGAGGGGTTGATATTGGTCCAGGACCTATATGCCGACTACGATTGAGATTGACATGACAAAGGCCTTGGGATTGCAGATTGGTGAAGTTCAGATTGATGCTGACACGCAAATGGCAAGTCGAGTCGATTCAGTCGAGAAGTCAAGGTTGACTTGCAAGGGCGTACGCCCGAAATCTCTAGCTCCTTGCGGTCCGTCGTAGGAACTTCAAGGCATTGCTTCAGGAGGGGGGTTCAAGCAAGGATCCTGAAGATGTGGTGGTTCGCGCTCTGCATGTACCCGCAGCCGTAGCCCGGCGACAAATGGGTCTTGGTCGGCTGCAGGTAATTTTCCACGTTGGAGCTGATTGCAGTTTGGCATGTTATCTCGAAGGAAGCCACTTGGTTCCATGGTGGGTATCGGGTTGCGATGACGAAAGCCCTGGCTATCTTGGGAATGCTGAAGAAGAACCGGTGCCGGACATGTTCTGCAATTCTGAAAGCTGTTCCGCGGCAGTGTCTCCATAGCAAAGAGCGTTGAGGTCGGAGATCAGCAGGTTTTTTCTTTGAGGAAAAATTCAGAGAGTATCTGTTCGGTGGGTTGAGTGGTCGATTCAGGGTCCTTGCCGCCGTCATGGTGTCGCCCCTCTCGCATCATTCCGTGTCATTGAAAGGGCCCATTGAGCGTGTTCAACTCGCGCTCGTTCGGTACGGAGTAACTTACAGAGTACGAAGTAGTCTGCCAGTGCAAGCTCGTCTTCCGAAAGCAGTGATTTGAGACAGGGTTCCTGGGTATTGTCGAGAAGGGTTGGGGGCGGCGGTAGCGGTTTTCAGGCTTCGAAATTTCCCCTTTGGAGCGGTGGAACGTTGGGCGGGTGGACCGTGGGACTCCAGGTCGGGCTGGCGAGGTGCGAGGGGAGGGGCCTACATGTCTCGACCAGGTATTTCCCCGTCGTTGTCCAGTTACCCGGCGGAGAGAGGTTCATTGCATTGAATTGCATGGCCAATGCGGTGTTCCAATTTCAAGATGGGCTCAAGATGAGGATGAGCCGGTGCTTGGCCAGGCCACAGATCAGCCTATGCGTACGGTACGGTACGGTACGGAGTACAGATTACTTTGGGCTCGGTTGACCGGCCAGGATGTGACGAGTGTCGCAATTGTAGTGGTTGAGCCTCCGCGGCTGTGTTTGTAGCATTGTGTCGGTATGCCGGTATGCCTTGGTAAAGACGTTTGGGTGAAGCTGTGCCTTGGTGAAGTCACACTTGGCTCGCTTTCTTTGCCGGTAGTTCTTTATCTGGGGTGATGCGAGAAGTGAGGTGAGGTGAGCTGAAGTGACCGGGGCATGGCATCTGCGACAAGCGCGGAAGCACGGGAGCTCAGGAGGCTGGCTGAGGCCATAGACCGGCTTGGATATCGGAACCGGCATCTGTAGGCAAATAGATGCTTCGTGATGGCGGTCGAGCCGGGTAGAGAGCTCGAATGTTGCTGTCGATGAATGGTTCAATAGACAATACGAATAGTCTACCACAGCAGGGTACCTTGGCTGACGTTATTGATGAAAGACAGGGTTACCTTATGGCTTATGGTGTCCGAGGTAGGTTAAGGTAGGCGGGATGTCGCCAGGTAGGTTGAGGGCGGGTGGACGGCTGGACGGGTAGCCACGAACCACCAAGTTGGCACCAGAGAGGCTTCCTTCCAGGTGCTGTATGAGTATCGGGTTGCTGCCGTCTCGTCAAGCATAAAGTACGGAGTAATAGGTACTATTAGGTGCCTTATGTAATGCCGTGTGGGAGACACCCGGGGATGGAAGGAAGGCCACCTGAAGTCAGGTAGAAGAGAAGTATTCGGACCTTGGGCTGGAGGGAAAGAGCATGGAGAGGGTACGTGCAACTCTCGGCAAATTTGGCGTGCATGGGTATGTACCTGCCACCGGAACTCTGACGAAGAAGATACTTCTCAGGCTGCCCAAGATAGGTACTTAGGTTGGAAGACACCGACCTACGTTAGGTACCTTCCCCTTACCTCAGGCCGTCTCCTTGGGGCCTTCTCTTTCCTTGGTTCTATTCTCCCCCTCCCCCTCCCCCGTCCAGTCTCCGTGTCCCATTCAGCTCCCAGCGCCTGTCCGCCCCAGTGAGGTGGTCCGCCGCCCGCTGCCCGCCGCCAGCCCTCCTGCGCCCTTTGCAACTCAGTGCTTGGGAAGGAAGTACTCCGTGGAGAGCGGGAGAGCCTGCCGCCTGAGGTGAGGGAAGGTCCATTTGCCTTGTCGCCTCCACTTTTGGGCTCCCATCCCATTAAGGTACCCTCCTCCCATCCTCTCTCGCTCCCTCCTTCCTGCCTTACTCTTCCTTTCTTCACCCCACGATCTCTTTTGCGAGCCACTTGATTGCCAAAGGCTTCTTGCCCGAACAGCACATCGTCACTGTCCCCTTCACTTTGGACACGGCTTTGGCATTTGGAGATTAAGGTACGCATACATATTCCCCTTCCATCACCATCAATTACAAATTATCCTCGACCGGCCCCCATCAATCTATCCGCCTCTCTGTCCATCAAGGCTTCGAAGAGAGCCCATACTGACCCCGTCCACCTCTTTCGTCACACAGGTATCCGTACCTTCAAACCATCACACACACACACACACAACCTCGCAGAGCCATCGACTCTTTCCTCCCCGCCGACAATACATACGCACAAACTCTCGACAGGTGAGCCACTTTTGTTCCTTATTAGCTATGTTTCCTCAACCTTCAATTACCTGGAACCTCAATCCATCGACAATCGTTGCATCCTCACACTGCACCCCTCTCGCTCTGCCTGGGGTTCACTCTTCGTCCGTTTTGCCCAGCCTAGCCTCGGGCTGACCGTGGGTTCTGGCGGTGGATCCGAGCTTTGCCTCATTCCATCCTCTCTCCCAAGGCCTCGACCAACTCTATCCACTCTGCAACCTTCCCACCTCTCTCGGTTCACACAACGTCCTCGCCTGCATCCACTGCCCTAGCGACACAGTTCAAAGGCTTCTTCTGTCTCATGCATCAATACTAATCTTTTACTTCTATCCAGCCCATCGCTTCGCTGTCGATAAAATTTTGACTCGTCCATCGACACCCAACCCACCAAACCAAAATCTGCATCCGAAAGGTGCAGAGTCCGCACACCAGTCAAGATGACCACAATGGTAAGCGAATAGTCGGGGGGACGGCTTCTTTCGACTTGGGATACAGGCTTGCCAGGAGCTACACATGCCCTAGCTCAAAGCGCCCAATGTGTCGACTGAACCGCTCTGTACCAATTGTCATCATTGCACATGGCTAATGAACCATGACAGGATCTTCGTGTCGGTAACAAGTACCGCATCGGTCGCAAGATCGGTTCTGGTTCCTTCGGTGATATCTACCTCGGCACCAACATCATCTCCGGTGAGGAGATCGCCATCAAGCTCGAGAGCGTCAAGGCCAAGCACCCCCAACTTGAGTATGAGGCCAGAGTCTACAAGTCCCTGGCTGGCGGTGTCGGTATTCCCTTTGTCCGTTGGTTCGGTACAGAGTGCGACTACAACGCCATGGTCCTCGATCTCCTCGGGCCCAGTTTGGAAGATCTCTTCAACTTTTGCAACCGCAAATTCTCCCTCAAGACCGTGCTGCTTCTCGCCGATCAGCTGATCTCCCGCATCGAGTACATCCACGCCAAGTCTTTCATTCACCGTGATATCAAGCCCGACAACTTCCTCATGGGTATTGGTAAGCGTGGCAACCAGGTCAACGTTATTGACTTTGGTTTGGCCAAGAAGTACCGTGACCCCAAGACGCACTTCCACATCCCTTACAGAGAGAACAAGAACCTTACCGGAACCGCCCGCTATGCCTCCATCAACACCCACTTGGGTGTCGGTATGTTATATTTCCACGCACTCGGCCCCGTCCCATTTCCCTCGTGGCCACTGACAACTCCGCAGAGCAATCTCGCCGTGACGACATGGAGTCCCTGGGCTACGTCATGCTCTACTTTTGCCGTGGATCTCTTCCCTGGCAGGGACTTAAGGCTGCTACCAAGAAGCAGAAATACGATCGCATCATGGAGAAGAAGATGACTACCCCGACCGAGGTCCTTTGCCGTGGCTTCCCCAACGAGTTCGCCATCTACCTCAACTACACCCGATCCCTCCGATTCGACGACAAGCCCGATTACAGCTACCTCCGCAAGATCTTCCGTGATCTCTTCGTCCGCGAGGGCTTCCAGTACGATTACGTCTTCGACTGGACCGTCTACAAGTACCAGAAGAATGCTCAGGCAATTGCTCAGGCTGCAGGAGCCACTCAGGAGGAGGATGAAAAGGCGCGGGCATCTCGCACGAACGCCGCTACTGCTGGTCAGCCGACCCCTCAGTCTGGCGCTAATAAGCCTAACGCCCTTCCCAGCTCGCGCCGCAAAGTGATTGAACGAGGATCTGGTGCTGGTGTAAACACCCCAGATACCAACCGTGCCGTCGGTGGAAGTGACAGGATGTAAGTAAAGCCGCCCAAGCAGCTCATCGACCGCTGGCTGTTGAACCCGTTGCTGACAAACACATGCTGACCTAGTGGACGATGATCTAGTTTGCGCTCGGCTACGAAGGGCGCAAGTCCAGCATATGGTTCAAGTTCCTTTCTGCCGAATTGATCCTCGACGGCGGTAAATCACATGCTTTCTGTCCAACACGTTGGAGTATGACCAGACCGGCTTACCGGCTTCATTCCTTCCGTGGCATGGCTCCCAGACATCACGATTGGTACGGGTTCTGCTCACCAGCAGGGTCTTTTGATGATACGCCTTGCCACGCGAACTGGTCGCATTCTCCTTACGCTTTCTCAACTTCGTTCTTCGACATATTTGGGTTGATTTCACGAATGACTCGATTCTTCATAACAGGACACTCGATTTCACAGACGCCCCGGTAGATCTTGCTGCCGAAGCTCTATGGTTCGATATCCATGGTAGGAAGAACTCGAACGGCACTTCCGGTACCTCAAGTTTGCGAGGCACCGTCGTCGGGCCGCCCCGCGAGACATTCCCCCCACCCCCAACTTGAGTGCCCTGGTCTTAGTACCTTGCACCTGGTCGATGCGTTGGAGCTGCGTTTACCGACGGACTTTTCTTTTTTCTTCTGTTCTATTTCTCCTACTTTTCCTTCGGTTATGCGCATTACGAGTTGATTTTTCATTCGAGGCTTCGCACTTGGTCAATCACGCGTCGAGGCCCGCTTCTGGGGAGGTAGTTAAAGCGAGAGGGGTCGACAACAAGAGAGAAACTTTTGCGAGATATCGGCCCTGCCGACACTGTCTGACAACATCACGACTCTTGTCAAGTCCGCAAAGACAGAAATCAGCAAGGGAACAACGGTTGCAAAGCTAATGAGGAAGAGCGCACCATCTTTTCTTTGACTTTTGGTTCGGTTTGGTTGGTTGGGAATTCGTTACTCCGACATTACACGAGGGGGAAATCAGGGCTGGTGACTAGTCGCCAAAACTGGTTCCTGGCAACTATTATGGGCTCTAGGGGATGGTCTAGCAAAGCTCTGGGACATCGACAACGTCTACATGGCTGCCTTGGCAGTCAACGGAAATTGTTGTCCTCAGGGCACTGTTGGACTCTCAACACTGCGCCTCCATCATCCGCGGGCTTTTACCGGCCTGGCAAGCTTGTATATGGTGGAGGCGGAGCACGAGTAGCTGTGGGCATGTCGATAGGCAGCGGAACCAACCAAAATACGCATGGTAGCTTTTCAATTTAACATTGTTGCGCGAATTTCGTCACCCGGAGCTTGTGAACTCGGCGGCGCAGCTGTCAGAAGAATACTGCAACAGTCACAGACTCACAGTCGTCGTATCCTATCGCCGCACAGCCTTGACTCTCATGCCTAAAGAGGCATGCTGTCTGAACAACATAGCCGTGGATATTTTCTAGAGTTTGGTGTGAAATGGTGTCGAAGTCATGAGACTGGGTTGCATAGCGGGTCAGGTGCGTCGTCGCTTGACTCCGTTTGGCAGGGCACGTATAACAGCTGACTGCATGAAACGCCAGAAGCCATACCGAATGGATGTCGTCAGGTACGAAGTATATCCGCACACATATGTTCGAATCATCGCGGCATATTCTTATCGTACTCAGTAAGATCTTGCATCACGATAAAACCTTAGCATCCTACACGAAAATTTGCAAAGGTAGCTGGAAAACCGAAGGGATGGGGACTTTCTTAGGTGAGTACACGGCGATTATTAGAATGTCGGGAGTGTCAGGGATGTCCCCCGAACTTGAAGATTCCTCAACCCCCCTTCAACTTCATAATCATCACTTTCTAGTTTGCACATGAAGTTGGCTTTGGCATTTGACAGCCTCTCATTGTGAGATTTTGGCAAGAACCAAGCTTGGAAGCGGGGCAGTTAGTGTGAGGTGAGCTTGTCTCGTTCTGATCAATGCCATTTGAAAGCTACTGGGCAGCTACCGGGCAGCTAGCGTGTGGCTGAGTGAGTGTTGACCGCATTTGCAACCACCCAACTAACACTTCTCAGGCGATCCTGCCAAACCATCTTGATGAGGACGGACAAGGACAACGTCAAGTCCTAACGTCGCGTGTGCTCTTTCCAACTCCGTAGTCTCCTCCTACATCTACTTCCTGAGCTCCTCTTATTCTTCTACATCTTCTCCTCCAAAAAATTTCTCAGTTCACTATTCTCCCTCATTACTCTAGCTCACAGTATCGATTGAGGCAACATTCTAACGAAGAGGAGGGGTAGAGAGCTGACTAACAAGGTAGACCAGTGACCTCCTCTAGCCGAGTAATCCCAGCACACCAAACTCGAGAATCGTCATCGGCGGCTATTACCTCCGACAGCTTTCAATGGCGACCCTTGTCGACGTCAACTCCACCGCACCCGCCGACAAGATGGCTCCCTCAACGCTTGACCTGTTCATGTTGACGTTCAATTGTGCCAAGAACTTCATCGATACTCACGTCTTTGCGACAAATCTCCACACAGCTTTCAAGCAGAGCGCCGCTCCCCTCCCAGAGGTTGTGGTCTTGTGAGTTGCGGTGGCCCCTCCCCTCGTGTGAATGATCTTGCAACAACGCTGACTAGAAATCTTCTCCCAGCTCCTTGCAAGAGTTCGCGCCGTTATCTTATTCCTTCATCGGCGGCTACTTCCTTAGCCCGTATCTCACGCGCTTCGAAGAAGCTCTCAACCTCGCTGCCACCAGATACACCAACGAACCCTCCTCGAGTACCGATAGTCACGATGAGGCGGACGACGAAACGATACTGGTTAAGCCTACCGCTCCTACCCCTGTGCGACCTTATACCCTGATCCGGACTCGCAATGTCGGTATGACCGCCATTATGCTCTTTGCGCGGAACCCCGAATCAATTTTGCGCGTGCAAGAGGCGGAGGTCGGCTTCGGCGCCGCAGAAATGGGCAACAAGGGCGCTGTGGCACTAAGGGTCTTATACGAGGGCACAACGGGCGATGGTGGGAAGAAGGAGACGGAGCTCACTTTCGTGGCTACCCATCTCGCAGCAATGGAATGGAATCTGCCTAGGCGAAATGCCAACTGGGCAACCATCATGCGTGGCCTGACATTCGAGAATCCGGAAGACATCCTGCACCCGAAGAAGAACAAGCCTAATACCCCTACACAGGGAGAGGGCCAAACCGACGGTGCCAGGGATGAAGCAGTGCACCTCTTGCACGACGAGCATCACGCACAAACGCTCGCTCTTCAGGAAAGGCTACAGGAGATATCTGTGTTCAAGCCAAGCTCCCATCTTTTTGTCGGCGGCGACCTCAACTATCGCATCTCAACGACGAGTCCGCCGCCAATGGCAACGTTTCCCAGTCTCGACCCCGATAGCGAACACCATTACTCCCGCTTCTTCCCCTTGGACCAACTCACGAGAGAACGCCAGGCGGGACGCACTTTGCACGGCATGAGTGAGGCAGAAGTCAAATTTCCCCCGACGTACAAGTACAATGTCCTGCCCACAGACAACACCCGCCTGAAAGTTGATGGTGTGGAGGATGTGCCTTGGGTGTTTGCGCCTCATCGATACCCCAGCTGGACGGATCGCATCTTGTACTTGGATGTCCCGTCGTGGGTCAAGGCCAAGCCCCAAAAGGTCGATGTCAAGACCTACGATGCCATGCCTGTGGTCCGCAGCTCAGATCACAGAGCCGTGTACATCAGAGCTGCAGTTCCCCTTCTCACTAAGAAGGAGCTAGCCCGATCATCGACAGAAGCTTCGACATCCAATGTGGTGGATCCTCGTCTCGTTCTCCCCGTAGCCATCGATCCCGAGGCCTGGGAACGACGTGCGGCAGCAAGGCGGAAGGAAGTCCTCGCTGGCTGGAGCATGTTCCTGTGGTCTACTAAGCAGGGGGCGATGATACTAGCCACACTGTTGGCCATCGGTGCAGGCATATGGTGGCTGACTTGAGCTGAGAGCTATTGGGCCAGCATGAAGGGAGGCGATTCGTAGTGGAGCTTGGAGATATACCCTGGCCTTGTTTGTCGTTTGGAGCTTCATGTACGTACACGAAAAGACGAAGGACGGGGACGGCTCCCAGCGATGGCGGGGTTGAAGGACCGCGAGCGATCTTATTTAGAGCGGAAGCATTAGTTACAACGCATCATGAACCTGAATATACTTAGATCTAATTAAGATTCTGGTTCTCGTATCGCAACAGCATTCATAATCTTTTGATTATCATTCGGTCTCAGTGGCTCAGCCTCAATAACTTATCCTTACAACAACAAGACCCTGAGCCAATGAGACCAAGTTAAAGGGTCAGCTCTTCTCGCTCACTATTGCGAAGTAACTATACCTCCAACTCAAGAAAGGACAGCGGGACCAAGGCATATCCGACTGACACGAGGAGCGAGTCAAAGTGTTTCCGACAGAATGGACAGAACGGGCTCGTCTTCGTCAGCGGCGTCGTGGCGTTATACGGGACTGGGGGGTTGGGGTTTCCCCAAGGCTACCGGGACCCGGGTCGAAGACCGGGACTTGAGATGGTGGCTGCAAGGGTTATCCCGAGACGAGTAAACGCCCACTCTTTGGGAGGGCAGCTGGAGGCGAGGGTTCTTTTGTTCAAGAAAGAGGAACGATGAGAAAACAAAGGACAAAAAAGACAGAAAGGGGCCCCGAGTTCCGGCCCGGGTCCGGGTCCTCCGTTTGCATTTCCGTATTGAAATATGGATAGGAAGTGAGGAACTCCTCCCGAGCATGGATGGATGTTGCTCTTGCCAGTCTTCCCTTTCTGAGCCGCGCGTCTCCGGAGAAGCCCACATCCAAAGACCGTATCCGTTGAAGAAGAACACGGACTGGCGCTGAAGGCTACTTTGGTCAAGACTACCCAGCCTAGAATTCAGGCTGTGAGGTTTGGGTCAACAGTGTCCCAGCTTGGCATCTCGTAAGTCGTGACAAATTTCTTCACGATGCATTTCTGTCTGTTGATTCAGTATGGCGTTGCATTCGCATTCGGCGGTTCAGCCGGAACTCTGCCAAGAGAGACACTGCGTGGCAGAGTGCACATAAGATCGCCAGAGGTTTTAATATTGTGCTTGAAATCCACTCGGGCTCCGAAGTAAAGACCTTGAAAGCCGGAGTACGCACGGAGTCGGGCCTCAAAATAGGTGAGGCTTCTCAACAAGACGTGAGGTTCGTTTGGACAACATATAAAGCGTTAGTTGATCCAACCAATCGCCGGATCAGGACGTGAGACCGAAGGCCCTAATCGAGCGTGATGGGAACTCATCTCAGCCTTACGCCTACACCGACCGTCAAAGGACTTTTCGAAACGCACTAGATTGCTGCAGACAATCGAAATCTGGCGTGCGACGAACGCCGCGATCCTCGGAAGCGAACGGGGGGGTTTCCACCTCAACAATGAACATCTTCATCTCTGCATTTGGGGCTGGAAATTGGTGCACATTTTAGTGACTACCGGCCGGGCGACCTGGGAATCCGGAAGAAATTTTCAATGAGAAGGAAACAGCGGTTCATTGGGGGCTGAAGTGACATAACTGTCGGGCCTTTGCCGCACTCAGGCATGGGCGCGACTCATGTAAAGGACGTAAAGGAAGCAAGACCCAGGCCAAGCCGCATGGCGCTGACGAAGGGCTGATGGAGGATCTTAGTGATGCGTTTCTGGTTGACTGGTTGTCGGCATACCAAGGTTTCGTAGTCCCCGTAATTGCCATTTTTGACATGTTGCCGGACAAACTCTCTGGGGATTGTTTTCAGGGTATAATTCTTTTCTTTTAAGCTCGGCCATGACGAGATATTGAGATCTAGTAGAGGTTGTTGCATTGCTGAGCATGGCAGAGCGGCTATGCTTCCCCGTGCGGTGGACAGTACGCGGTTGACTTGCCAGGCCATGGTAGATACGGCTCGGATTGCGAAGCCGAAAAGCATGGCGTACCGGATGTTCGTTGGAAAAGAGTCATTGAGCGAGAGGTGTGGGCGAGAGGTGGGATGAGATCGAGACGTTGCGTCATAGCCGCCGATAAGAGTCGCTTGCATGCAAGGTGTATCACTGATCAGGCCCTTTCCCTCCCCGCGGGACCGGATTCCGCATGGCCTGGGCGAGATCTGACTGACGAAGAGGCGGCCCTGTGTGAAACTGAATGTCTTGGATGCGATGAAAGCCTCGGGGGAGCAGCAACGGTTGTTGATGCAACAGCAACACCTCGATCAGCCGTAGTCCAGGCACATGCTCCGTACAGTAAGACTGTCTCTGTCAGTTGGTGTTAGGTCTTCTTTTTTGCCTTTACCGTCTTTTCATCGGCCTTCAAACGTCCGGAGCCCCGTCAGAGCCACTTTTCTTTCGCGCTGGCAGCCACATTTGCTACGCCACGGTGGTATGGTGAGGAAGACAGAGCATGATACCACCGCCGCCGCTTGTTTGTGGCCGATGGAACGCCGTAAATGCGCTACCAAAGAACCGGGAGCACGGAGACCGACCAAATACGGAAGATTATACGGCAAAGCTAGGTCGTGTCTGAGTCCGGGAGACTGTCCGCTGCGATACGGGCTTTGAATTAGAGCGGTGGGCATGATGGATGTCTCCTCGTTGCCTCGGAAGGCCCTATATCTGACATTGGCCAAAAGGCCCCTGAAGGCTAGAGAAGCATATAATCCACAGTCTCGGGGCGTAGCAGGGCTTCGGAGATTTACTCGGCTGTGGAAGTCAGGGTGTCTGTTCGTGAAAGATATCGGATTGAGAGCAGTCTTATGGATAGCTGGGCTGATATCAGCAAATCCGAGTGCAGATGGCCAACAGGGGGCGGCGGAGCTTTCTTGGTCTGGGGCTGACGGGGTGAGGACTGTAGGAGACTCGAGAATCGACAGCGAGAAAGTGAGACTGGCGGGCGAGATTTCAATATGATGAACAAAGCGAGATAGGTAGGTATCCGTAGATGGTCGGTGCTGGTAACGAATGTTGCAGAAAGAGGTGAACGGACCAGCAAGAAAGGGGGCCACGGGGCGGGTAACCCGTAATACTGCCGTGATGCGAGCTGAGTGCCAGAGCCCAAAGCTGAAGCGGTGCCATGTGGGGGGGTGACGGACAGCCTCCGTAGCTGACGGTCCCAGGCGGATGTTCCAGACGGAATGGAATGGTCGTGGCGATGTGTAGGGGGACCACGCGAGGAGTCGAGGAAGATGGTACTGTGTAGAGACGAAGAAGTAGCAGAAGCAGCAGAGGAGTGCGAGTGTGACCGAGGCGGGCCGAGTCGAGACATGGGCAGAGGAGTTACCGGATTTCCACCGGGTGGACAGTAGGCTATTCCCAAAGAGGAAAGACCATGTCGGTGGTTCCGCTGGATTACACGCCGCACCCGCTGCAAAGCTGCAAAGTCGAGACTTGTTTCTCCATCGACTCTACCGCAGTATCTGGGCGGGTGGCTAACATAGTTAGGTAGCGTACCTACGAATGATAGTCGTGGATTGGGATTGGACGGGCTGTAAGAGAGAGCGAGAAAGGCGGCAAAGATGCCCGTCAAAGTGCAGCTGTCGGTGAGGTTACAAGTGCAGGTTGAAGGAGCGACCGCCCCATCCGCACAATGCAAGTACCCATCCACACGGCCTTTCTACTTACCTAGGTTCCATAGGTTGTCCACGCGGTGAGGTGAGTGAGGGCAGGAGGTACTCGGGATACATCTTGCCTCATTTTGGGTAGTGGTGTCTAGGGTGAGAAAGAGGTATCACGAGGTATCGCGGTTGCAAAGTGGGAAGGAGTGAAAGTGGGCGGCGTGGGAGGGTACCCCCGTGTTGTCGGGTAGCAAAGAAGGCAAGAACCCACGCCTCTTGCCTGCCCATAACGTGGTGTTCCACGTCCCATCCCGGCAATCACAACCCAAGAGGCTAGCGGTCCCAGCAAGCAACAATTGGGAAGCAGCAACCCTCCCCCTCCTTCCTGGCCCTGCCCCATAAATGCTCCTACCGTATGTAGCTGTCTATTCTGCTGCCTTTCGTCATTGCCACAGCCATTTCGTCTGAAGGTTTTCCCTCTCTCTGAAAGTGAAAGCTGAGAGGCCCCAGAAGTCACCACCAACAAGAAGGAAGAGAAGCGCTCTCCTTCCACCGCATACCTGACCGATCCAGATACAGACACAGAACACCGACGGAGAGAAAGAACGGTATCATACATTACCCTCGCTTATATCAGACGCCGCGAACTATTCTTCGTTTTATTCGCGTTCGCAGTACCTAGTCAGCTGTCCCAGAGGGAGAAACGGTGCCTCCCGCCAGCTCCAGTTCTACAGCTCCGAACCACACATATCGATCCCCAGTCCTGGGCCTAGACCCAGCACCAGACGAAGCCTCGATCCGAACCGAACCCCTTTCCACCACCACAACTCTTTCCCATTGACCACTTACGAGACGCAACGAACACCACCTACCTCTTTCCCTCTGTCACTCATCTTCCAAAACCAAACCCACGACGGCTGGTCTACCTTGGCCTGTCTCCAACCGACTGGATCAGCATTTTGGGCCGTGATGGTGACGATCGACGTGCTGTCCAGTTGAACGATATCCATACCAAACAACTTCTCCTACTCGAACAGAACTCACCCTACTCTCTATGACGGGAATATCGGTCATCAACAAAAAACTACATGATATGGCGGCTACCGTTGCGCATGCGAGTCCCCTGTCGAATCAGGTTGGCGGGGGTTTATCCAAGATGATGGGCGGAGGCAACAGCAGTAATGGCCATGCTCAGGCGCAACAGCATTCCGATGCTGGAGCTGGACCTATCGCAAGTCGGATGTTGACCCCTCAGGATTTTCGCGTCGTAAGAACGCTTGGAACTGGTTCGTTTGCGCCCTATTTCCGTCCCGGTGTCTCTCTGCACCTACTTACTTTTGTCTCGGAAACCCGTTTGCTAATCTTGGACTACCGCCTTGCAGGAACATTTGCACGAGTGTGTCTTGTGCGCCCAGCGAATGCGACTGAAGAGGAGCGCGACACCGTTTTCGCGTTGAAAATCCTGCGGAAGACAGAGGTTATCAAGCTTAAACAGATCGACCACGTCCGTCACGAACGTTCAATTCTCGGCGATGTTGCCGGCCACCCCTTTATCACGAATCTTATCTCGTCCTTCGCCGATCGCGATCACTTGTATATGCTGCTGGACTATGTTCCTGGTGGCGAGCTTTTCAGCTATTTGCGCAAGTTTCGGCGCTTCGAGGAGGAGACGGCGCGCTTCTACGCCGCAGAGATTGTTCTCGTGCTGGAGTATCTGCACGAGCAACAGGGTCGCGTCGCCTATCGTGACCTCAAGCCCGAAAACCTTCTACTGGATGGCGAGGGCCATATCAAGCTGGTTGACTTTGGCTTCGCAAAGAGGCTGAGCAATAGCTCGGGTCAGCCCATCGAGACTTACACCCTCTGCGGCACTCCCGAATACCTCGCTCCGGAAGTGATCCATAACAAGGGTCACACGACAGCTGTGGACTGGTGGGCACTGGGCATTTTGATTTACGAGTTCCTGACGGGATACCCGCCATTCTGGCACCAGAACCCCATTGAGATCTACAAGCAGTGAGTTACTCCGCGGCCGGTAGGCCCCAGCTGTGGCTTCGCAGCAGCTACTAACAAAATGTTGCAGAATCGTCGAGAAGCCCGTCATGTTCCCGCATGACCCGCCAGTATCAGCCGAAGCTCAAGATCTGATCAGATCCTTTTGCACTGTAGACCGATCCCGACGACTAGGAAATGTCAGCGGGGGAGCGGCCAAGGTCAAAGAACACCCATTCTTCCGAGGGGTCAACTGGGAAGACATGTACCACCGACGAGTACGTGGCCCCATCATCCCGCCAATTCGATACCCTGGCGATGCGCAATGCTTCGACATCTACCCCGAGGACGACGGCAAGAGGGAAGCGTACACGGACGACATGGTCCAGAAATACGACCACTACTTCAAAGATTTTTGACGCAAGCTTTGTCAACCTTTTCGACCCGTCATTGTATGAATCATGCGTTCGGAGTTGGTCTTTACTCGGGGGAGTTGGCCTCTGTAATTCTTTCATGTGTTTTTTTTTATGATACTCCAACCTGTAATTGTACTGAATGTGAAATTGGTAGCGAGGGTCACGAGAGTGAGCGGCCCTTTCAGCGGCACTCCAGAGGCAGAGCTCGGACAAGGGGGGAGAGCTTTTGGGCTTTGGTCTGGACTTTATGTGTGAGGGAAATTCTGCTGGTCAAACCCTGGATAGGCATTGCTTGCGTTGTTTTGTTGATCCCATTTCACACGGGTATTTGAAGGCGTTAGGTTACGGTTGAAGGATTAGCCTACCTGCACCAGGGGCGATTCAGGAATTCAGGAACCTTGTATTTCGGAGGTAAGAGATACTCCGATCAAGGAATAGAAGACATATCTCGTCACTGTACAAGACACTGCGGTCATGCTACCGGCTGTTGTCTCTTCTAGTTGCCCCAGTGTCATAGCTACTTATGCGAGCGAGCTGCTATGCCTACTGGAAAGAAGCAAGTCAAGAGACAAAAGCAAATCGCAAGATGCTGCTGGTTGACCGGGTTGTCAAAGCGCCCCGTGAGCAGCGACTACAAGTAGATTGCTTGCCATGACAGCACGGGGGAGTGTCTCAGCTCCTTGAGAAGCTAACCGAGTTGGGCATGACACATGCTCGTGGGTTGTCACTCTGGTGATGGGCCAATCTCACGTCACCTGGACCAGGCGATGCGTTCCCTTGTTCTCAAACTCATCTCACTTCCATTGTGACTTACTGATGTGAAGCTGCGGGCACTTCTTATTTTTTTGCCCAAAGAATAGTGCCCGAGGGCCGATGAGGCTCCTTTTCAGCTGATGGAGGGAAGTGACATCATACGCACTTGATCTGAAGAGTTGACCAAACTGGAATGTGGAAGGTGGGAAAAAATGCCATCGTATTCGTCCTGCGGAAAAGCTAGTGAGCTAGAGTAGATCAAGGGGTTCCGAACCAAAGTGCGCATGATAGGTAGGTAAGTATGACCTCTGGTTGAGTAAGGGGGGGGGGGGGGGGGGGGGGGGGGGGGGGGGGAGGGAGCAGGAGATGAGAATGAGACTGACAAGGGAGGTGGAGCGCGGTGACCTAAGAATGGCCGGCGCAGGCGGGTTGCGAATAAGGTGCAGAGGGGTTAGGTACCCCTCTGCAGGGGACTGCCGGGCTGCGAACCGCCCACTATGAGGTGCCTCCCGTGCAGTCCGATTAGGGGTAGCCATCGTCTCTTGCCTTGCCTTGCCTTGCCTTGCCTTACCTTACCTTAGATAGCGATAGTGATAGTGACTGAGGACCCCGACTGCCGTTCACAAGCACCTAAAGTGCCCAGCTAGTAGGAACCTGGAAGTAATAGGAGGTGGGAAGTGTGAGGTGTGAGTGGTGCACCTCAGGTGGGCTGCCATGGCTGCAGGTCACTAGCAGTTCAGGTAGGGCAGACTGGCTCAGCAAAGGTAGGGTGGGTACGTACCGTGACCCTCGAGGCATGGACGGATGGAATCCTTGGCGGGAAACCTCCAACTATCCACTCCATTGCATTCAGCTCCAGTCCTAACCTCTGGCGCGCAGCTGCTTGCTTACCTTACTGCTTCTCTCCCGATCAAATCATCCAACGAAATCCTACTCTCCAGACTCTTTCCCACTACCGAATCGAACACTGCCTTTCAGTACTGAGACGTACTGATGCTTCAAGAACCATCTTCTCACTTGCTGTGACGCCAAAACATCCCTTCACTCCTTTGGCAGCCAGCACTCCGTTTTGGGCTCGAACCCCCCTCACCCTTCTAGGTCTGCGAGCCTCCGACCAAGACCCGACCTTACCTTACCTCACGCATCCCGCGAATCTTTATCTATCCGGCCCAAGCCGAGCCCTTCGATCCGCGGCCCCCTTTATATACCACTCCCCGACATGACCAGCTGAGTGCAACAGCTTCAGGATGTTCACTCTATCCAGCCTCGTGCAGAAGGCACAGCAGTTGGTCGACCCGACCCAGGGACTGAACCTGACCAACTCCGACAAGAACCCATCCAAGTCGTCGCTGTTCCAGAACCAGTTCCGTCTCCCCAGTACTCAGACGCCGCTGTACGAGATCAATGCCGAATTGACCATCCCGCCCGCCAATGCCACCTATGGAGGCAAGGACCACGATCGAGGCTACCACTATGCTGGCAAGCTACACCTGTCCGAAGGCTACATGTGCTTCTCCACGACCCCCTCAAGTTTCGTCCAGGGCGCCAGCACTTCAACAAGCTCTGCCTTTACTGGCCAAACACACGGCGGAGGCCCCAGCGGAAACGGCTTCACCTTTCCCCTCTGCGCCATCAGAAGGGTAGAGAGGCTGAACAGCCAGACCTTCCAGGTACGTTGCTCCAAACCCCGGGTCGTGACATTGACAGCAGTCCGTGCTCTATCCCCCGCAAGGCCATGAACTGACATGCTACTCTACCACGTAGTTTGCCTTGGCGATTACCACCTGGAATGGCATCAACCAGCAAGAGAAGAAGGACAAGGACAAGGAACCCGCCCCCGACAAGGACAAGGACAAGAAGGATGTTCGGGAACAAAGGATCACGATACATCTTGCCGGTACCCGCCAGGGCTGCGAGCGCTTCTGCGATGGTCTGAAGAAGGGACTGAGGGCCGGCGTCGGGAATGTTGGCAAGTACAAAAACGTTACCGGCGAGTGCTATTCCGAGTACCTACTCCGCTCCGACGACAAGAAGAATGCGAGCCCGCCCGACGCTGGCCTGGGCATGCTCTTCCGCTACCCTGGAGACCCTAAGAAGCTCCGCGACAGGGCCAAGATGCGTCTCTGGGCCGAGTACCTGCGCGACAATGGACGAAACATGACGCTTATCCGCCAGCCGACCTTCCACAAGCTCATCCGCGTTGGTCTGCCTAATCGACTGAGAGGTGAGACTTGGGAGTTGACGTCCGGATCGATCTACCTCCGACTCGAGCACCCGACACTGTATGCCGAAACCTTGGCCAAATATGAGGGCCAAGAGTCTCTCGCTATCGACGAGATCGAAAAGGACCTAAATCGAAGCTTGCCAGAGTATCCTGGCTTCCAAAGCGAAGAGGGCATCGGCCGTCTCCGCCGTGTGCTTACAGCCTACAGCTGGGTGAACCCTGACGTCGGGTACTGCCAGGCAATGAACATTGTCGTTGCGGCATTGCTCATCTACATGTCCGAGACGCAGGCATTCTTCTTGCTGTCTTCCATGTGCGACAGGCTAGTACCAGGATACTACTCTACGACAATGTACGGAACTCTGTTGGACCAAAAAGTCTTTGAATCACTTGTTGAGAAGACAATGCCTATTCTATGGGAACATCTGGTGAAGAGCGATGTCCAGCTTTCGGTCGTGTCATTGCCTTGGTTCCTGTCACTATACATCAACTCGATGCCACTGGTTTTCGCTTTCCGAGTTCTGGACGTCTTCTTCGTTGAGGGACCGAAAGTCCTGTTCCAAATAGGACTCGCCATCTTGAGGATCAACGGCGAGGAGCTTCTGGATGCCACAGACGACGGCGCCTTCATCTCCGTTCTCAAGGGCTATTTTGCTCGTCTCGATGAGTCGGCACACCCAAAGTCGGAGAACCCAAAGCTGCGTGCCGTAACCAAGTTCCAAGAGTTGATGGTGGTAGCGTTCAAAGAATTCTCAGGCATCACCCACAGCAGCATCACGGACCTGCGGTTGAAGAACAAGGATGCCGTGCTTAGCAACATTGAGAGTTTTGCAAAGAGAACAGCCCTTCGAAATTTGGGCCCCGACAGCAAGCTCCTTGCCGCAGAGGAGCTGGGCGCTTTATACGATCGCTTCTATACAATTTTGTACGAGAGACAACAACGAGAAAGCATTATTCAGCAGGAGAAGCAGCGTCGTGCGAAGAACGCACGGCCTAGAGCGCGGGATGTGTTTGAACCCAACGACGAACACGTCGAAAAGGGGCGAGTGGCCCTCGGTGCTAGCACCAGCCTGATGGATTACGATGCATTTAGAGAATTCCTCGCCAACATGGCAAAGTGGGCGATGTCCGACTCACCTACTACACCTCGCCGCGACACATTCGCCGATAAGGATAGGAACGCCTACACAAGCCGTCGTCAAAATAATGGTTTCCTTTCCCCATGGGGCTCGGGCCCAGAACCTGCCGACCACGAATTCATGCAGCAACTGTTCAAAAAATGGGATGTCAGCGGTGCCGGTGTGTTGACCCTGGCTGATGTAGTGTCAGGGTTTGCCAGAATCAAAGGCAAGAAGGACATTATGGGAACGATTACGTATTTCTTTGAACTTTACGACGACGATGGCGATGGCAAGGTTGACCGTGAGGGTATCTTGCGCATCTCTGAAGCGCTTCTCTTCCTATCCAGAAGAGGACTCGAGGGCTCATTAAGCCCGAGTGCCTCTACGCTCACGCTCAGCACGCCGACTGGCCAGGGCAGCGAGCCAAGCTTACCTGGTATCTCGACCAACGAAAGATTCTTGGGTAGTGTCAGCGCATTTATCAGAAGATGCTTTGAATATGCCGACCCGGACCACCCCAACAACAAAATCCACGAAGAAGAGGAGCCGAAATCTACGGAGAATAGCGAGGCATTTGCCATTGGCGACGATGAGGATGAAGAAGACCTTCTTGCCATGGATTCGCCTCCAGGTAGTCCAAGCAAGGCAAAGAAGTCGTCGTCCGAGTCACCATCATCACCAGCTGAAGAGAAAACTTCTGCCGCCGGGCAATCACAGCGACGTGTCTCAAAGGCGCAGTCAGAAGCGGCCAATGCTGCTTTGGACCCTGCGAACCCGCTACACATGACGCTCCCAACGTTCCGCATGGTTGTTCTCGCTGATGAACTTCTCGAGCAATTTTTCGAGTCATCTTTCCCCACCTCATTCCACCTCATCGAGGGTCTACCAACAGTGTCGACACCCACGTCGACCCTTACTACCTTTTCCAGTCTCAACTTCGGACGTGCACCCGTCGCAGCTCTCAATCCTGCAGCACAAGGGGCGACCCGTGGCCTACGCGGTGTGTTGGACAACATCGTCACGGATGGAATGCGTGTGGCTGCAGAAGTCCGTCGGAGGATGGAGGAGGCTCAAAAGGAGTTGGAAAAGAACGCTGTGCCTGGGCAACAAAGAGACGTCGAAGATGAAGAGGACGATGCGGACATTGGAGTCGAAATCGGCATCAGAAAAGGCACGGCCAGCGGAAGCGCGGATATCGAGAGACGGAGTGTACGGAGTGAAGACCGTGACCTTCTCGACGGGGCAGACGCCGAGGCTGGTGCCAACAATGGTAGCAGCAAGGAAGGACAGCTGGTGGACATTGAGCCCACAAACCGGAGCGAGACGAATGCCAAGGGTGTTGTTGAATTTGAGGGCTGATCGACGTTTCTACGCATGCAGGTAAGCACGCAAGAACCACGGCTTGTGTGATCCGTTAAGGGTATGCTCCGCACGGCAAGTAGGTGGGCACAGCCAGAACCCACATGGCGGGTTCGAGGCACGCAAGGAGCGGCAGTTGTCAGGAAGCTTTGGGAGGAATGTAGTGGAGATTAGGGGGGGACGGACGCGGTACGAACTCGACCTGGAGCAAGGAGGACGAACGGGCAATGTTTTCCCTCTGGTTGTGGCAGAAGGTATCTGTGGGAATTAGGACTATACCTATCGACGTCTTATCATGGAATCACGTTTGGGATTGTATTAGCTCTGCGGCAAGAAGACAAGGTCACTCAAGAGAAGAAAGATGTTGTCCACTCAGGCCTGGCAGTGTCAGTACGTCCTGTGCCATACGACCATTCAGACCTGGCAAAGCGTCACATCGACTGAGTGTATCGCTGCGAGCTATTGATGATACTGACATAATCAGCAGAACCGTTCGATGTCGAAGCCTACGTAGTATAGTCATGGATGCCATCTCCCTTGCTCGGTTTCGAAATCGGCGGGCATCGACGGTGGGGTCTGGCACGGAATCGAGGGCGTTGCAAAGACTTACAAAAAAAAAGCCGATGGAAAAGGCCGAATCGCAACGCCATTTGCATGGCTCGAGGGGCACTAAGAGCTCACGGCGTCAAGTTCCTCGTGGGAAGTATGTTATCGTTTGCAATCAAACTTTGGCATTGAGGGGCGTGGGTAACATGGAGCTCTTATGCATCATCGACATCAGCGAGCCAGTCTCTGAGAGGACGATTCCGACGAGTATGGACGGACGGCAAGTGACTTTCTGCCTGGATGGATAGCCAACGGGAAGGAAGAGGGAAAGATGGCCAACTCAGTATTATCATGTCTTGGCAGTAACAATTTGCGTGTAGAGAGAGGCTAACGATACTCTGAAGAGGTACGAATAGTGCGAGGGAGAAACGCGTTTCCAAGGAGGAAGAAGCAACACCGAAGCAACGTGGCTTATGCAGGGAGAGGACGGAGTATGTATTCCTTCCACTCCTTGCAAGGTGAGAAGATGTCATTGGACCCTTTCTTTCCCTCTTGGCCTCAAACGGGCAGATGTCACTTCAGCTTCCACCAAGGGCTACCAGAGGTCGACGTCTCTCACATATCCCTCGACTCGTCGCCATCCAACAGCGTCACTCCACATTCCAATATCTCGACGCCTTGCATTTTTTTCGGAGCCAGTTTCCAGGAGTCTGGAATTTCTCGACTCATGGTATGCCGGCGGAGGCCCCCCCGTCCGTTCCGTCTTCTCTGTTCACCTCTCTGCTTTCGTCTTCAAGTTTCCTTTCACGTGTCCCGACCTCCACTTCGCCCGCTCTGCACGACATGGCCACATGTTTGTGTAACACCGATCTCCCCCACCTTCGCCCACAACCCTTGTCGCCCAGTCGTACAAGCGTTTTGGTCCAGGGACTTGGGGAGCCGTTGGTTGCACAGGGACAACGACTACCACCCAATATGGATGCCGCGCTGAAGGTCTTGATCGGACAAGACTTCTCTGCTCATATTCTCACGAGACATTGGTGTCTCCTACTTTCCAAGCAAGCATAGCTATGCTCACACTGTACACAGACATAGATCCAAAACGCTCATCGGCAGGCTCTCTGAGCCCATGGTAAACTGTGTGGGCACTCAGGCACGTAACGCTTTCAACCTCAAGACCGCTATGCCTCCTCCGTCCCTCGATCAACGACGGCTCGTTCCCCCCTCTACATTCCGTACGTTGCATAGCCAGGCTTCTGGCCTCGCGCTTCAGTGTTTCTTCCCGCCGTTGCACAAGAACGTAGAGGAAAGTATGGCGGCCGGCCGGCATTCTCTTAGTTGTCCCACACACCCTGGCTTCCACACCAACGACGAATCCTACCAACAGGATGGAGGGGTTTAGGCTAGACCAAGAGTCCATCGCCGTTCTCGAAAACGTGCTTCGCAAAATTGCAACAAGCGGCCCCCGTTTAATTGTCTGATTTCAGCCGCAGGAGAATTCCCGCTACGGCCAGGAGGCAAGAATGATGAATGGAAATGTGCAAAGTAGCCACGGCTCTTGCGAGACATCGCCAGGCCATCCGGTTTCCTGGCTCCGAGTCCCATTGCTCGCCAACGCCCCCCTTTGCCCTTTTGCCTCTACTCCGTTTTGACTCCGGAGTGGGAGGGCGGTCGTCCGAGATGCAAGCCAGGCCAGACACCCACATACGTCGACCGAGTATTGCGTGGGAGGAATGACTGGCGTTCAGGGGAAAAGCGTCGCATACGGCTGGACCTGAGAATCGTCATTTCAAACATTCCAGGTTCCTGAGAGCGAGCCTATGCTCTCACCCGGCAGCCCTAAGGTGGGAAGGGAGGTGGAAGATCCAATGCCACCCGTGTTGTTGGAAGTGGGCAAGAGGCGACAGGGACAGGATTCTTGGCCCTCACGATGAGAAGCTTTCAAATACGGCCAAGATTCTCCTCCCAGAATACCGGATTCCCTTTCTTCTCTCCACCGCGCTTCGACTCACACTCGCTTCTCTTTTTCGTCCGTCTCAACCTGGTTTTTCTTCCGGGGGCAAGTTTGGGCAGTCATTCGTTCTTGTTGCTTGATTCTTGCTCGCGCTCGTCACTCTTTAGGGAGATCGACATCCCTTTCGTCTTAATACTCCTCTCCCCTCTTCCGCCTCGACTCTGCCTTTTGGCTCGCTGTATTTCATCAGTCATTCTTCGAAAGCTACCGACAAGATGGGTTGGATGAAGCAGGCGGCCTTTTTGGCCGCATTGTCCCTGGCTGGCGTCGGCCAGGCGGCAATCACCGCCGCCAGCGGCAACTGTTTTCCCCCGGGTACGCAGTCCGCCGCGACCGAAGTCATTACGAACATGACCCAGGAAAAGTGTAGCAACTTCTGCCAAGGTTATGCTGTATTCGGCATCTACGAATCGAATAGCAGCAACAGTACATTCACCTGTGGCTGTGGTCCTGCCCCTACGAACGCTACCGCTGTCAGCGACGGCAACTGCAACACGCTCTGCCCTGGTGATGCGACTGCTACTGAGAACTGCGGTGGTACGGCTGGTGAAATCCACTTCAACGTCCTAGTCAACTCAACTTCGTCCTCGTCCTCCAGCTCTACCACCAGCTCCTCGTCCTCCTCCACTTCAAGCCACACTACAACCACCACGGGCACCTCGAGCCACTCCACTTCGACTACTTCCACTGCTGGCCCCACGTCCAACTCGACTACTACGTCCTCGTCCAGCAGCTCTAGCAGTTCCAGCAGTTCCAGCAGCTCTAGCAGTGACACCTCCAGCCACTCCACCACGAGCTCCACTACCGGAACTTCTTCGTCGACTGGATCCATCTCTACTTCCGCTACGTTGAGCACCAGCGGCTCCACCGCCAGCTCGTCCTCCTCGGTTGCCTCGGTCGAGAGCTCGTCGTCCTCCGCTGCCGCCGCCAGCTCGTCGTCTGTTGCTGCTGCCAGTTCTTCGTCTTCTGTTGCTGCCGCGAGCTCGTCGTCTGTTGCCGCTGCTAGCTCCTCCTCAGTTGCTGCTGCCAGCTCTTCTTCGGTTGCTGCTGCTAGCTCTTCCTCGGTTGCTGCTGCCAGCTCTTCTTCGGTTGCTGCTGCTAGCTCTTCTACTGCTGCTGCTGCTGCCAGTTCTTCTGCTGCCGCTGCCAGCTCGTCGGCAGTTGCTCCCTCCTCTACTGCTGCTCCTGCCAGTTCATCGGCCGCCCCCGCTACATCGGCTGCCGCTACCACATCTCCGGCTCAGCCTGGTCAGTCCTCTATCGCAGTTCTCAGCCCCGACCCGGTGCCCTTCTCGAAGGCCCTTGAGATCCAGCCCGGTGAAGCCGTTGTTGTCGAGATCCCCAACACCAGTGGTAACGCGGAGAAGTTCGTTGTTCAGTCCATGGGTTGCAGAGGTGTTCCCGCTGGAGAGTCGCCTTTCGAGAACACTGTCAACCCTCTCAATGCCGCTACCGCACCTGCCTGCGCGGTTGCTTGCGCTTCCCAGTCCTTGGCGCTTACCACCGTCATCAGAGGTACCTGCTTCTGCGGTTCTGTTCTCCGGACTTTGCCTCTCATCCCGGCTGACCAGTGCGCCGCCGCCGCGAGCAGCCGTCGTCGCAGCTTCTTCAGACGCCAGGCTGGCACTGTTGATCCCGCTACGATTCTCAGCGTGACTCCTGCCAGCCAGGTTAACCTTGCTGCTGCCTCGACTACCTTGAGCTCATCCTCCGTTCCTTCTGCCATGGTGAACACTGACACGAACCTTCAGTTCGTCCCTACCAACACTGGAACCGCTGTTGCAAGCCAGAGCTCTACCTCTGGAGCCTCTTCCGGAACTTCCACTGTCTCTGGTTCGACTTCTGGAACGGTCTCTGCCTCCAACTCTGCCTCCAACTCTGCTTCCACCTCTGCGTCCAACGCTGGCTCCAGCTCTGTCACCAGCGCCGCCGCGGCCTCTGCGACTGACTTCATCCTCGCCATTGTCGGCGGAAGAGCCCCTACCAGCTCCAGCAGCTCCTCTTCTAGCACCGCCACCTCGTCTTCGAGCTCTTCCACTCGCAGCAGCAGCTCCTCTGGCAGCTCTTCCAGCACCGCCACCTCGTCTTCGAGCTCTTCCACTCGCAGCAGCAGCAGCAGCAGCACCTCGTCTGGCTCCAGCTCCAGTTCTTCTGGAACAACCACGTCTGCTAGCACCACGGTTACGACCAGCACCAGCTCTTCAAGCTCTTCTTCTAGCTCTTCTAGCGCTCCATTCCTCAACACCACCAATTCTATCACCATGAGGAAGCGTGGCCCAATCATGGCCCAGCTCATGAACCGCCAGAGCGGCGCAACCACCTACGTCGGTACCACTGGACAGACCAACCCCACCAACTGCAACCAGGCTGCCGTCTTCAGAATCGGCGTTTCTGGCACCATCACCGTTGATGGCAATGCCCTCGGTGTCAACCCCGGTACTCCTTTCATTGCTCTGCGCTCCGGCAGCACCGGATCGATCACCGCCACCTTCACCAACACCAACGGTGTTTTCGCATGGAAGAATGATGCCTTCACTGGAGGTCAGGCTGGTTTCTGCCAGGACAACAGCGGTCAAGTTTACGCTACCTTCGGCACCACTGTCCCGCCTAACTGCACTCCGGTCACCTTGAGCGCCACTCCTCGTAAGTCAAGCGTCAAGCCTCGCATGTCTAATGATCTCGCTGTTAACAATCTCTCCTAGGTTCTTCCTGCACGGCAAGCGGTACTACTTCCAGCCTTCCCGCTTCCACCGCCGCTACTAACTCTGCGACCACCACTCCCGGCGGTGTTTCGGCCTCTTCTACCGTCAGCCCTGGATCGACTCTTACCTCCAGCCCAACCACCACCCGCTCTGGCACGACTACCGCTCCTACCGGTGGCTCTACCTTTGTCAGCGGTGGCTCAACCTTCGTGACCGGCGGTTCAACTGGCGTCTCTGGTGGCTCTACCATCGTCTCGGGCAGTTCCACGTTCGTTTCTGGCGGCTCTACCTTCGTCTCTGGAGGTTCTACCGTTGTCACTGGTGGATCTACCATTGTCAGCCCTACCACTGGTCCTGACGGCGGCGTGACGACCGACAGCACCGCCGCTGCAGCTACCTCCAGCGTTGCTCCCAACCCCGCCAGTGTTGACGGCTTCTCCCTTTTGGGATGCTTCAGCTCTAGCAGCAGCTTCCCCACATTCTTCCTGGCCCTGTCGGATGCGTTGTTGACCCTCGAGAAGTGCACTGCTGCCTGCCCCGCCAGCTCCAGACTCGCTGCCTTGTTCGGTACCGACTGCTACTGTGGTGACATCATCGACAACACTCTCACCGTCCTCGTTCCCGAGAACCAGTGCAACACTGTCTGCCCTGGTAACCCTGCCCAGCGCTGCGGTGGACGCGCCTCTGCCGTCCGCCTGGCCCGTCGCCAGATCCCCACTGATGTCCGTCTTACCGTCTACGTCCGTCTCGACGTCTCCCCGCCCGTCGTCTCCACCGTCACCAGCGTCAGCATCAGCACCGGCGCCGGTACTACCGTGCCTGTCACTGTTGTCAACACCGTCACCCAGCCTGGCACCACCATCACTGGTGCGCCGGTTCCTACCAGCACTGGCCCCAACGTTGCCGGCACCCTCACGCTGCCTCCCGGTCTGTACACGGCTGGCGCTCCTTTGCCTGGCGGCGAGGTTTGCTACGTCGTCACCCGATCCTGGTTCATCGGACAGACGTCGCTGCTCCCTGCCCTGCCCATGCCTACCGCCTGAGCGTGACTTTTCCAGCACCGAATCACGAAGTCATTAGCATAAGATACATGTACGGTTCACATATAGACTAGGGAGTTCTCTCCCGCGGCTTATGGGATTTGTGTGAAATTTTGTTCTAACTAGCATGGGGAAAGGGAACAGTTACGACTTGTACGAACTGTATCACTGGGTAATATTAGTAGGAGATGTTTTGTAGTTTATTTTATCTTCTTTTGTCGTGAACTTGGTTTAAGAGAATAGATGATTAGGACTCCAACGTTTGATTCACGCTGCTATTCGCGTCTGATGAATATGTGACTGCTACGCATAAGCTTGAGTGATTTTCGAGTTTCCATTTTCCTGGAACTGGAACCGCTCCTTGTGCCCCTTCCTCGTCAATTGCATCAGTTACCAGATACAATTTCGCCAGACTGCCACGAAAGTGATGTTGAGTCCTTCACCGGGGTGTATCTAGGGCAACGTCTTCAACAGTATTGCTTCGCACGAAGAAGCATGAGAATGTCTCGACTGAGGCATGTTGAGAAAAGCTTCATCCCCCTCAGCCACCAAGGTTCCATGATTCAGCCGTAAAAGCTACAGGGAATGTTGGCGTCATATCGTCGTCCCGGTGCATCGTTTGGAAGGCGTAAGGCGTTGGTATTTGACATGATAAACTTCAACATGGCTTACTGGCGGTTGTCAGGCAGGCAAGAGAGAGTTGAAGACTACATTGCGCCCGCACCAGTGGGGACTGTTGAGAGGCCGAGTAAGCACGCGGGACGAGGTGTTGGTTGGAAGTGAGGTATATACTGGAGGAAAGCAGAAGGTGCGGTGGTTGCTGTAGCTTGATTGGTCTTCTAGCCCTACCTTAGTCCGGCTGCTTGAGGTCGGGGACTAGGCTGGTTAGAGAGAGTATTTAAAGCATCTTTGGCTCACAGAGTTTTGGGTTTTGGAGTAACGGGATTCGAATCTGGAATGTGTGGGTGAGATCGATTGGCTCGAGGGACGGTATCTTGCTTCTTCAGCATACCTGAGAAGGCGTGAGGGTACCCATCCAGCGAAGATGTCGCTATGACGGGGATAAACAAAGAAGCAAATCTGGGGTTTCTCTACATCAGTGCTTTTTGCTGGTGTTGATGAATTCTACTTGTAATACTTTACAGCTAGGTCGGAAGTATAGAGGGATATTGATAGTCGACTTTGTGCAGTGGAAAGTGTAGGGGTCTTAATGGGAATAGGGCATGGTGTGTTATGTTAAGCGCTCCTTTGATGGGACCCTACATTTCCTGGGTTGACGGGGATAGAATTTATCTTTTGCCAGGAGGAGCTGTTGTTTACATACTACTTCCTCGCACCGCCTCAGTCCAAGGAATCACTTTGGGGTATTTCTTTAGTACAGTCCGGTTTATTTTATCGTATCGTAAGAGGTTGTCGCCCCTTATAAGTAGCCTTGATTTGTGCCAACTTCTTGTTTAGAGGAACTCAAGGACAGAGGACACCGGTACAATGATACTCGGCAGACTATTATGATGTGATTAAGTGAGTCAGCGACAGACTCGAAACGACACGGTCTTGGTTCATATCGCGAGAGGGGACAATCTGAGTGGCCATGGGCCCGGCGTCAGCTCTGTCATGGAGACGTGTTCTGCTAGCTGACGCTATCGTTCTCGAGTAAGCGGGTTGCCGGCTCTATACACATGTCAAGATAGTCGGCACTTACTAATGCGTCTACTCGAATGAATTCGTTGGCCGTATGTGGATTTAGATGTGTTTTTTTTTTTTTTTTTTTTTTTTTTTTTTCAAATGCGGGCTCCAGCTCAATAATTCGATTTGCTATATAAACGAGGCCCGGGGACGCACCTGTGGACGCGTTTAGCCAACCCATCTGTGTGGGTTTGCTTATTCCACTTACTTAGAAATGACTGAGTCGAGAAAAGACGTGTACGAATCAAGAAGGATGGTCAGGCGGTTCTGGGCGCGAGGCGAGCCAGTCGCGCTGGGACAATGAGCGGTCTCGGGTCGTAGTCTCGATATAAGCGAAAGCGCGGCGGAGAACGTACTCAATGTCGTCCTGAGAAATGTCCGGGGAAGCATCGGGCCAGGAGATTTTATTGTCCTTCACTAGTTCTGGTGTATTCTGTCTGTCATATTTCGAGGCTGTGGAGCGGTGAAGAAAGATTATGGAGTTAGTGTGCTGAAATAGACTGGGGTGAGTGCACTTTGGCTAGATGGTAAACTCAGGTAAGAGGAGGGGAGGGTGGTGAAGGCCGGATGGGTGGCTTGACGTGGACTCTTGCATCGCGGCCCGTGACATCTCGGTGCTAGGCTTTTCTCAACGGAACTCAGTGTACTTTTTATATATTTGTGCTTCATCACGCCGATACTGGCAGATCAGCTTGAGCCACTTCGGTTCCATAAAGACCATTAGACACATCTGCTTACAGAGGTAACGCCTAGATAAGATGACAGTTCGCGGCCTGTTGGGTATCGACTTCAAGCCGTTCAGTCGGCATCATAACACACTACTCAGTTAGATATGGGAATTGCCTCCATGTTACATTTGGTGCCCAATTTGTTCTGTCCCACGGGAGTGATTCGGCCGGTAACTGCCCCGCTTCTCCGATCCGCGACTTCCCCGCTCCGAGCATGGCAGTCCGTCCGGACTGAACGGCCAGCCCACCAATCACCAACAGTATCCTCCACTCAACCCCTTGCACATCACTACTCAACTACAACTAGCCATCAGATGCCAGATTATATGCATAAAAGTCAAAGGAGACTTCCGGCTTACCAAGCCATCAGACGATGGTGGTGGTAACACTTGAATGCTTTGCCCAACGTCGAGTCCTTCTTCTCTTCCACCTCCCCTTAGCAGGTCCCCTCCATATACGGCGTCGCATCCGCTGTGCCGCTGTCACCCCGCACACGCTTCCCTGTTCATCACACGGATATGCGAGTAAGAGGAGAAATGAAGATCTCCGTCTCTACCGCCGCTATTCAAGGCCTTTCCCCGCGTTCTCTGTTGTCACCTTCCCGGTACCCCAACCGACCATTGGGGTTGCATTACATATCGGACCATGTCTCTGAACGGGATCTGTCACCGTCTTGGCTCCCTTCTTTTAACTTTTCTACTTCCTTTCTTGGTACGCGAAAGGCAGTCCTCTCGATGTAAGGCAACCTGCGATACAACTCTATGTTCCTGGCCTGGTGATCTGGATGACCTGGGTGACGTTGGACCTGCCGTTGAACCAGGTTTTCTGTTGAGAGAAGTGATTGTTTCCCGGCATCACATGAAAGCTTGTTCGAGGTCCGCGGCATTTGCTCTGATGGAGCGTTTGGGTTGGCAGTCTTACACGACCTATGTAAGTGTAACAGTGTAGATAGTGGTAAAAAATGCTGTTATTATAAGTGAACGACACGTTCATCCCATCTACACAGCGGGTTCCTAAGTTCTCGTCCTTCTTGCCAGGGACTTGAATACTCACATCTCCTACTACTTGCCTTACCTTCAAGACGGGCTGGATCAAGCCTTCCCCCGGACGACAATGCCGTCTCTACGCCCCCTCCCCCTCATAGCGACGCTGCTGCTCGCATCAACAACCGTCACCGCAGCCCCCTACAACACCTTCGACGGCCCAGGCTTCCCCGCCTGCAACGACGTCGCCGCAGTCCACAACGCAACAAGCGTATCCGATATCCAATCCCTCGTCAAAGACGCCATCGCCTCGGGCCAAAAAGTCCGCGCCTCGGGAAAAGGCCACATGTGGTACGACACAATGTGCTCCGACGACGCCAACACGGTCATCATCCGCACCGAGGACGTCAACGGCATCTCCGAGTTTGATCTCGAGGGCGGGAGCGTGGTCATCGAGGCCGGCGTGACCTTTTTGCAGTTGGCGGAGTATCTCCATGATCGGGGCGCGTCAGCGGGATACACGCTTGTGAATTGGAATATTACGCTGGCCGGGTGTGTTGCTATGGGTGCGCACCGGTCTTCGATTCGGGAGGACTCGATGGTTGCTGCTGGTGTGTTGGAGTTGGATATTGTTGATGGGAATGGAGAATTGAGGCACCTTGTGAGGGATAATGATGATGATACGTGGCTTGCTGCGTCAACTTCGCTTGGGTTGTTGGGTGTTATTGTGCGGATGAAGTTTAAGATTTATCCCGACTTCAAGGTTTACGCTCAGCAGAAGACGTAGGTTTCCCTCAACATTGACATGCCTCGGCTGAGCTAACAAGATCGTGAAAAAAGGCTTGAAGAAAGCGAGGTGCTTGACGGTGACATTTACGGCATGATAGCTCCTTACGCAACAGCCAACTTCTGGGTAAGTCTACTTCGCAATCACACTCCCTTCTCCATATGGATATCCATAGACTAACAACTACGCAGTGGTGGCCCTACAAGCGCAAATTCCACCACCGCTACTACGACGTCGTACCAACAAACATCTCAGACCAACAAGGCTTCCAAAACACCTTTTCCGTAACCGACCTCGAAGGCACCACAGCCCGCACCCTCCTCGACAGCGGCCGCTACCTCCCGACCTCGAACCTCCTCGCCGAAGAAATCTTCTTCGGCCTCTGGTCGAAACCCAATTTCCGCGAAAAGACGACAAACGTAGCCATTGAAGAGTGGCCCGTCTACGGCTGGAACTACGACGTGCTCATCGGCGGGTTGTACCCGGACCAGAAGCCATTGTGGGAGGTGGGCGTGCAGGGGTACACGCTCGAGCTGGCGTTCCCGATCACGCAGGCGAATGCCATGTTGAAGCGCGTGAGGGCGTTGTTTGATGAAGAGGCGAAGAAGTTGATTGTCATGACGTCGACGTATCGGAGCGGGATTAACATCAAGTTTGGGAGGCCGTATTTTGATCTGTTGGGGCAGGTTACGTATGGGACTGCTGATGGGGCGGATTGGAGTAAGGGGGTGATTATGCTTGATTTTCCGACATTTAGACCGACTGTTGGGGATCATAGCCGGTTCAACGAGCCTTTCTGTAAGTGGTTTCCCCCCGATGATATGCTCTGTCTACTACCGCAGCTTCTCGATGAAGAAAGGATGTACGCTGACTCGAGCCGTGTTAGATCACAACCTTGCCAAGGTCCTCATTGACGAGTTCCCTTGCCGCCCGCACTGGACCAAGAATACCCGCGAGGTCTTTGCCCAGGCCGCAAAGAACATTGACCCCGATGTAAGTTTGATCCATGTCGTTGATGTAGACATAATGGTCGCTGACAAAGAAACGTAGCATATTGCCCGCTTCAAGGCTGTCAGGGAGCAATTCGACCCGAACGGTATCTTCAAGAGCGTCGTAGGCGAGGCCATTGGGGTTTACTAAGTAGGGAGAACTAGAGAAGTACGATGTGGTAGTTTTAATTTTCTTTGTACCTAGTTTCACGCCAGTATGACGCAGGGTTGGTTGGAGTAGTAATTATAATCTTGACTCTCGTACGAAAGACACATGCAAAGTATCGAGCTCTCGACAAACGTAGCGTCTGAACTCTGTGTTGTTTTGGCCACGAACTCCCCTTTCCAGGCAGGAAACTCATGGCCAGATAGATGATGTGTCAGACCTTCCCGGCATCCCCTACTCGTCAACCCAAATTTGATCGGCCTAGACTTCCAGGATACCCAAACATATCACAGCCCCTTCATACGTCCCTCTGAACAGGTCTCAGCGTAACCATTAAAGGCCCCTTCTCCCACGTAATATAATTCCTCTGCACAACCCACGACTCCATACCGGGGCAAAGCGACAAGTCGTAGTGCCACAGTGTCTTGGCTAGCAGCAGACGGAGTTCCAACCACGCAAGACTAGTTTTAACACACAAGGGCTCGTCGTCAGCAACGAGAGCAACAATGAGAAGTCGCAAAGGTAGGGTAAGGAGTAGTCTTGGGTTGATACTCACTTCTTGCCGAGACAGTTCCTCGGCCCGTAAGAAAAAGGCTCATGCACATCCCTCTTATCATCCTTCCACTCGGACGCATCCGTATGGGTCCACCGCTCCGGGAGGAACTCGTTCGGCCGGGCCCAGTTCTCCGGATTCGTAAAGGCCGAGTACGGGTTAACGGATACCAAAGTCTGTCATCCCACTGTAAGCCACAATACCACTCCAGCTCACCTAATATCGTCTCCCATCACGTAAACGCAAACAAGAGAAGGAAAGAGACTCCAGAACTTACACCTTCCGGTACAAAGTCCCCACAAACCTCCGCCCCGCCCCTCGGCACGATCCTCGGCATCCCCGCGCCGCCGGGGTTATACAACCTCAACCCTTCCATCAGTACCGCCGTCAAGTACTCCAACCCCAAAAGCCCGTCAACACAAATATCCTCTGTCCTCTTGAAAGCACCCCGAATCTCTTTCGTCAGAATATCATACACCCGCGGGTTCCGCAGTAGGTAGTACGTCGTGCCAGACAACACCGTCCCCGACGTCTCCGTCCCGGCAACCATGAACATGGCCGCGTTGGCGTGCATCTCCCTATCCGACAACCCCTTCTCCTTGCCCTTGGCTCCGCCGTCATCACTGCTGCTGCTGCCGTCATCGTTATGCTTGAGCACAAAACTCCAAATATCCGGCTTCGGATGTTCCTGCCTCTCCCTCAACCGCCGATCAACAAGCTGCCCCGCGAAATCAGTATGCTCCTGCGCCTTCTTCCTCAGCGGCGCAGACGTGACAGCCTGCACCAACGGACCCAGCACCGGAATCTCAAGAAATACGAGCCCGTAAATGACAAATTTTAACCCGGCAAAGACGTTGCGCACCCAGGGGGTGTAATCGCCCCTCTTGAGCAGCAGAAGCGGTTCTCCAAAGGTTAGGTCCGCCATGATGTCAAAGGTGGCGAAGTTGTAGAGGTCTACAATGTTAACGGACCCCAACCCGACTTTGTCAGCATCACCATTTGCGTGCGCAAGCTGACGCTGACGATCGGCTTGCGAGCCCATTGCCTCGACCATTTGATTGGCATAGTCCACCAGCAGCGTCTCCTGCGCCTTGAGCGCCGTGTTGGAGAAGGCGTGCGTGAAGATGCGGCGCTGGCGGGTGTGGTCTTCCGGCCTTGTCGTGACAAGGCTATCGCGGCCGAAATTCTCGCCGCCGAAGAAGCGGAGGTCTTTTGCCATTTCGGATTTGAGGGGGCGGCCTAGGATGTCTTTCCATGCTTGTGCTGGTTTTCTACGCGTTAGTATTGAAGACACCATTCAGATCATAAACATCTCCGGGGAAGATAAGGATGAGTTTGAGGCTGCTGTTTACGTTGGATGTAGGATAGCTCGTTGGGAGCTACGCGAACGGCGCCGGAGTAGGTCTCGTGGATTTCACGGGCTTTGACGGCGTATTTGCCTGTTAGGAGGGAGATGTTCTTTGGGATTGGACTGAAGCGCCATAAGAATGGTCCTGGGTAGTGGCGGAGCGGATGGAAGTAGACATTGTAGATGCCGAGTAGGAAGTACTATGAAATTGAGTCAGTTTGAGATTGACTCCAATATCAACGTCTAAACACTCACATATGCAATTGCAATCTCAGCGATGTCTAGGGCGATAAGACCGTAACTTAGGGTGGTCATGTTTGCTAGATGTTCTTATGCTCAGTTCAACATGGGAGTAGTGAAATGGAACTTCATGAAGAGATCAAAGACTTCAAACTTGATGTGCAATTAAGCACCTTCTCAGCTGTCGTTATCTAGGGACACATTGGAACGAATACGAATTCGATGCGATGGTTCATAGCGGCGAACACCACCCATTTGCCTCATTAGGTGAACCCAAACGTGTCACTGCGCAAGGATGCTACCGAAAGCTAACTAGCATCTCAATCGAAACTTAGACCGCGTGGTTGGTTTCATGAACCGTTTGTCGGCACTTGTTTTGACAGCTCGCCATCCATTCAGTCGGGTATCGCGCCGGTTGAGATCGTAATAAGACAAAGTTTACTTCATGCTCTTTTCAGCGGAGGCGGACTATGCTTTAGCCATAATCTGTATCGGTTGACTAATGCCCTTCCATATGCCTTTCCAACAGCTTGGTCGTGATCTGCTCATGATGGCTGCAGCTTTGCCGCCAACAGAAGCACCGACTATATTTACCTGGCTTGAGTTTCTGTATAAACTCAACTCTTCCCACCAGACAGCGTTTGATCATCAGCAGCTTTCTCATTGCTAATTGAGAGTAAGGCGCCTCATGATAGAGAGAGGTTCGAGGTTCGAGGTTCGAGGTCCAGACTATGGATCAGTCAGCAATCACCCCGTCACACCAACTTTATCGATAAGACGTGATTCCAGGCCCCTCCCCCGCCATTCACAGTGATGCGACTCGCCATGCATCATTGGGCCAGTCGCCAGTAAACTGCGACACCTACGTCACGATAAGGTAGCTTAGCTTTTGCTCACCACTTCCTCCGTTCCCTCAACATTCCTCAACCATCTCCCTCGAAGCCCCTCCAATTAGTTCTCCAACGGGTGCCGCATTCCAGCACTGTTTGAGAGTGAGCCGGAATAGAACGAAAATAGAACACAAATACCGGCAGATACAAATCCTAAAGATAACCAGGTTACCTACTAGCTTGCCATGTCTCCTGTGTTAGTCGTCGGCGGCACGCGAGGCCTTGGGGCGTCCCTCGTCAAGCAATACGCCGCGGACGCGGGCAACACCGTCTACGGCACCACGCGTTCCGATGAAGGGCCCGAAGGCTTCTCCGATGCCGTAAAGTGGTTGCCAGGTATCGACCTGATGGACGAGAATGTCGGCAAGACCCTAGTCAGTGTGCTTGGTGGTTCGAAGCCGTTGTCGACGGTGGTATGTTGATCCCTCTTATTCATCCGGCCCGTCGCCCCTTCACCGAGCCGGAGCGTGTGTTTGATAACCAGCGGGGAGGCAGATCATCACGGCAGGCTACTTTGCGACGGAGGATTTCAGCGCCGATAAAGGTCCAAACTGGGCCGAAGAGCAGCGCATGTACACGACGAGCTCCATTGCCCCCGTCTTCATCGTCCACGCACTCGCGCGTGCCGGCCTTCTCCAAAAGGACTCCAAGGTCGTGCTCGTCTCGTCCGAGTCCGGGAGCATCACCCTCCGACACGAGAAGGAGGGCGGCGGCAACTATGCCCACCACGCATCCAAGGCCGCGTTGAACATGGTGGGCAAGCTGCTGAGCCTCGATTTGAAGGATAAGGGCGTTATCATCAGCATTGTGCATCCAGGTTTCATGCGTACAGAAATGACCAAGGGCGTGGGGTTCGATAAGTACTGGGACGATGGCGGTGGTAAGTATTTCATATCCTTGTGAACGTACCCGGCCCGACAATAGTTTCATGGGAGTCAATAACGTCTGAGTGCCGTAGCCGTCACGCCCGACGAAGCCGCCGAGAGTCTCATCAAGTGGACAACACAGCTTGACATTTCCAAGACGGGGGAGTACTGGGCGCCGAGAGGTCCGCGTAAGTACATGTACCGACGAGCGGTAACACCTGCTGGCAGACAAGACACTAAGTATTGACTGACATACGCCCTCGTAGGTGACATTGGTACGGCTGAACCGGTTCTTGGCAAAGAGCTTTCAACACCGCTCCATCTCCCTTGGTGATGGGTTGGAATGTTTTCTTTCTGTTTGACCAAGGCAAGAGATCACATCGGCAGTCTGCCATTACGCGCAAGAGACGTTGGACACGGAACACCCGTTGTCCAGACTTCGTCCCTACTCATGCAGACAAGGTGATTCCTGTAGGATCTGAACAGGCTTCATGGATGCTGAGTCGGGTTGAATGAGTGTGAGAGGATTCGGGCTTGGTAAGGGCCGTGACGTGCATATCCATCTACTATGCAGTGTATATCCGTACAAGGAGCAGGTCTGTTCTGGTGTCGCCAAATGCTCTCTCAGATGGAATTGGGCTCAGACTCGGGCTCAGCGGGCCTGAGTGGGTTGAAGGGGCCAGACCGGGAGGTGGTCACCGTAAAGAAAGCCGTAATTGAGACGAACGATTTCCCTGATTGTATCCCCGCAATTCCCGAAGGTCAAAGTGGCGGAAGAGGTTCCCCCAGAAAGCCGGCCACTTTGTCCGGAATCGCAGTTGTTAGTCTGAGTCTGAGTCTGCGACTTGTAAGAAATTAAGAATAGGAGACCCAATGAGGGTCGCCTGTCGCGATCCTTTCGTGGCAGGCTGACAGCCCATCCGTGATGGAGACAGACGGAAAGAAGAAGTAAGAATTGCGCTGGCCCCCGCTGGGCCTAGAGCAATCTCTGGGAGATCGAGTTTTTGCACTACACAGACCAGCCCCGTGCAACAATCACTCATTCTGTTGTGGGGTCACTCACTATCGCAGGTGCGGCTGGTGCGCAGCTATATCCGTAGTGCAGTTGTATCCGTACTTTGCAGATATTAATCAAATTCCCCATGATCGTCTGCTCATATGAACAAGCCCCATCAAAAAGATTTTGCTCCAATGCTCTCGCCCAGGAAAGGCTCGCTTACGTTTCAGATTGGCGATGAGGTACCAGGATGATGCTGTCACGCTGTTCCCTGAGGGCTCAGGCTTGAGTCTTGTTCGACGGAGGACCGTGACGAAGGAAGGCGGCTCCCCAATCCGATCAAGACGCGTTGTGAGTGAGATGAAGAAAAGCAAAAAAAAAAAAAAAAAAAGGAGACGGGGAAAAGAATGACCTGTAGACCGCAAAAATCGACGTCAAATGAGGTTTTAGGTGCAGTCCGAGTGAAGCACGGTCTTGCTGGACATTTACAGCAACAACATTGGCAAATACGGTCGATGTCTTCAAACTACTGTATGTGTGTTGTGTCTGCTCCCGCGTTGCTGGCTGGAAGAAGCACAGTATCCCTTCTGGTATGCCAGGAGAGTCGGATTTGGGGGCTGATCGAATCAGATCGTCCGAGGCTGAGATTGGAGGGCGTTTTGTCTCCCTCTTCGGGGAGCGCCATCTGCCCGTTTGGTTACCCTGCCCGAGGCTTGGCAAGGCAATACGGCAAGCTGCTTTCTGCTGGTTGCTGAGTGCGTGCCCGTATCGATCTCGAATGCTGCAGAAACCACACCAAACGGAATACACGACGGTGCTCTTATCACACTCCAAACAGTGCGGGTCTGTTTCGCCATCCAGCTTCCATGCGTAAGGGTATCCGTTACGTCTCCAGACTCCCCTCGATGCATTGGCTATGAGAGCAGTGGATGTATTTTGCGCTTGGATGACAGCTGAGATCGAAAGGTGAAGTGAATTGTCCGATGGTGAGTGACTATTGGGCGCCACCGAGATGTCCGGGGCCTGCGGGGGGGAACCAGCGAACGGGCTGAAAGTGTCACGCGTCAGGCGGGAGACGGGCTCGAGTGATTGCCATGATAGTAGACTTGGAACTGGGTTGGCTGGCACTGTCGGTAGCAGGAACGGAGCAACGCCGAGGCTGATGGCGACGAGCGAAAGCTCGAGAGACTATGGACTCTGCAACCGAGACCTAACATAAGATTTTGGCTGCTGGCCTGACGTTCGAATTGATGCACCCCATGTTCCCTTGGCGTGGTTGAGACGACCAGGGGGCCCCAACACGAGGTTGCAATCCAGCGAATTTGGAAGGGCGGGCAGGTTGCAACAACCAGGCCCCTGTGCTACCCTTTGTGATTCCGTCTCGTCCAGCTGCTGGAGAGACCAGGACCAGGGCGGACGAACAGCTCCATCCCTCATCTTGGTCCCAGGTGAAGATTTCAGTGGTGGTGTCATAGCCGGGTTGTGGACTTTGTCGTCAAGGACATACGTTCGCAGGCAGGCCACAGACAGACGGGTTCGTCGGGAAGAAGGTGGTTCTGTTCATTACGTATGTGAGCTTTCTGGTCAAAGAAAAAGAGAGGAACCAAGCAACAAGAAGCCGAGAGTCCGAGTGGAGGAGCACGCACGGGAGGATTGACAGACAAGTCTGACCCTGGGTGATGTCAGGTACATGCCACAAGTACCTGACAGACACGGGGCCAAGTCAAGGTGTCCGTAGCTCAGAGAAGGCCCGTCGGTAGTAGCCGGTGTGTGCATACACACACAGTACAAGGCATGGTTTGGATGGCTGTGACCCGGTGGAGGGGAAACGACCGAAGCATTGTCGGCTAGATGGCTCAAGCGCCCACAATTTTGCTCGTCGTCTGTTCCGGTCCGTCCGTTTTGTTTCCACGCGCAGCCCGTCGATTGTTAAAGGACGAGTGGTGCATGTCGCAGACGCAGAAGATGGTCAATCTCATCTCTCAATTGTTCGTGGCCGGCTTGTTCTGCGGAACTCCATCGGAGGCGAGTCTAGGCGCATTGCACCCTGTCATTCAACCGTAGGCCAATTTGTTGAATTACCTTAGTTTAAAATAATTAGGATTATTAGGGGTCCTGGGGTGTGTCGTCGGCACGTCTCGTCTGCACCCCGGTCAGCCGAGGAACATCACTCCCGCGTTTGTCATGGCTAGTGTTTCCAAAGACCCCATGCCGCGATACTTGTTCGAGTGTAGAGCGGCAGATATGCAGAGCAGCGGTGGCCATCCGTGCCATCTTTTGGTTGGAAACTTGGTGATGGATCTATTATATCTGGGTCGGAATGGCGAGATGGAAATGAGAAGAGAAAGAATCGCGCCGTTGAAGCCCAGTCCAGTTGGAGAGCCGTGT